CTCTAAAAGTGGCAATACAAGTCATTGGGGAAAGAATCTGTTTAATCACATCAGGCAATCAACAGTCACTAAAAAATAACTTAGGGGCTTCTGGGTGGCAGTGGGTTAAAGCCTCTGCCTTCAGCTCAGGTCATGATCCCAGTGTCCTGGGATTGAGACTTTCCGGCTCTCTGCTCAGGGGGGAGCCTGCTCCCCCCACCACCACCCTGCCTGCCTCTACACCTACTTGTGATCTGTCAAGTAAATAAATAAAATCTTTAAATAAATATATAAATAAGTTAGATGCTTATAATCATAAATAAAAGGAACTAGTTACATGACACAAATTTGCAGGTAACCTAACAGCATTATTTTGTGACATCGTCTAGGGATCGTTAGACACTGGGCATGGAGCAGACAAAGCAGGTGGTAGATCATCTATGCTTGAGAGCAGCACCGTTGAGGTCAACAATTATAGATTCAGGATTTTCCCAATAGTAAATATTTACTTCTATTTTGAGTTCCCCTCTCAAATTATAGTTCGAAAAATAGAACCACTGGGAAATCTTCTAGGGACTAAATTAAGTAATAGAGATACAAAGACCAAGATCAGTCCTCATCCTGATAGGTGAGCTATCAAAGCCCTCCAGTCTCTACTTTATTCCTCTATCCACTGCCACCCCATCTAGTACAAAAGCTTCCTAACTCTTCTAATTTCCTCTGTCCCCTTACATGCTTCTACCCCACATTCTAGAGCGACATAATTTTTCTAAAGTATAGTATCTCAGGTATTAGTCCAGCCTGACTCTTGCTGGCTTTTCATGACTTTAAAATAAATTGTGATCAATAATTTAAAAAGTATATCATCAATTATATGAGTACCTTGATTAAAAATAGTCATCCATTTTCTAATGAAATAAAACTAACCACTAGCCCAGCATTCAACATTATCCAAATTTCTTTTCCATCCCTCCTTCCCATGGCTCCCCTCTCTGTAGGCAGATCTTCCCACTTGGATCACAGATTATTTAGATGTGATTTTCCATATTTTGTGTTCCTGCTCTCCTTTAAATCCCTTGAATACCTTCTATCTCTCTGTGGCACTCACTTTACTATGCTTTCTTTTGTTAAATGAGTCTTATTCCTCCTGCTCTTTAAGAAGTTAAAATTTTTTAGTCCAGAAGTTGTGTCTTGTTCATCTGTGTCTTCCTGTTAGGACCAAGTGCATGAGGACATGTCAGGTACTCAAAAAAATAAGATAAAATTGAATGGACTTCTGTATTCAACTTTTTTTTTTTTTAATCTTCTTGCTTCCTAAAGAGGCATGCTGCCTAAGTCCTACCTACAACAGCAGCTGAGTTAGCTAGCTAAAATAATATGGCATTATGTTTGCACTCAGATTATGTGCAATTTTTGGTAATATTTGCTGGCTCATTTATGTCACATTCTTAAGATATCATGCATATTCCAGTACGCTTGTTTCTTCATTAACAACGCTTTTTATTCAACAAGATTCCCAGATTGATTCTGAGTGGACTTGTACTTGAGCATTTATTAACACAGAGTTTTCGTCTCATTAGTGGTTTTTTAGCTTTCTAGCATCCAGGGTATGGTCACTCCATTCATGGCGTAAGTATAATCAAAGTTGTCTCCACATTGTCAGCATAATGTAAATAGAGACATACAGGGGAGTCATTATCACATGGGCATAAGGAAGAGACCAAATAACTTCTCACAGAAGAAGGAAACAATATAGGGTAAAATTGAGCTGAGATGAATATTGCACTAACCCCATCACCTCTTTTCCCACTATGCTTAGAGGAAAAATTCAGTGAAGAATCAAGAGAGCTATGGAACTCTGGAACTCCCAATGTAGAAAGGCAATGGGATGCAATTAACACCCTGCATTTTTTTATTAGCTTACACCGCAGGGAAGAAATGTCTAAAAGGCTATTTAAATTCAGTATAAAATTCTAGCAACTACAATTTTAATTGCATAACTGCAAAACATTTTTCTCATTGTTGAAATAAAAAGAAGGCTGTAACGCATGTTCCTTACTTGTTTCAGGACTCAGTTATTAACCTTTAAGAATCTTTTCTAGGAGAAAACTTCTTTCTCTAGCAAATGCATCTTGAGACTGGGACTTAACCTAAAATCCTAACTCCTGTCGTGGACCATGTCGACACTTCAATCCCTGTCATAAAAACACCTTGAACAATATTCCAGACACAAGAATGTCAGAGCTTTTCTTTTTTTAATTGGCAGCTAAAAAAATAATTTTTAGCAGTCACAGAAATGAAAAGCTACCTTGTTCTCCAGCACACCAATATACACATGTAAAAGAATGCATAATATGCAGTCTGATTACTCAAGAACAAACCATAGCAAATGCAAGAAAAGACCAGGTTGCTGTTTCCATAGCAATGACTTTATGTGGTTTAATTCTTCTGGGAATTTAACCAAATCCCCAGCAGCAGGAGAAAATCATCAGCAAAAATTTTGTGACATATGGCAACTGCCAACACATCAGTGAGGGGAAAATAATTTTATTTTCTCTTTCTTTCTACTGAAAGGAATACCTTCATGTCAAACTGTTGGAAAAAGCACAGAGATTTTGTTGGTCACCCTGCACTTAACTCAAAATTTTAAAATACGAGGTTTCTTCTTCCTTAGACTGAAAGAGATGTTGGTCCCCAGCCAGCTCTGCAATTCATGCATCTCAAAAGTGACATGTGGACACGGACAAGAGGTACATACATATTCCCGTGACTCGCAGCTTATTCATCCTAAAGAAAACTCGATCTGCAGAGTCATCCCTCGGGAAAGAATGCAAATGGGAATTTATTTTCTGTTTTGCTTTTAAAGCCAACCTCATCCTGGGGTAATGTGTGTGTGTTTGTGTGTGTGTGTGTGTGTACATGACAATTTTTAGTTCCACCTATGGCCCAATGATTAAAGTAAGAGTTTTTCACAAGCAAATAATAGATGTGGTACTTTTCATGATTTTCTTTAGTTCAAGCAGCCCTGAAGCTCAAAGGCTTTTCCAAGTATCAGGTTAGAGGCCGAGCAGTTCAAGATACTTAAGTGCTCTCTTCATTATGTCTTTATAAGAACAAAGACAGTGGGGCACCTGGGTGGCTCAGTCGGTTGAGCATCTGACCCTTTGGTTTTGGCTCAGGTCATGAACTCAAGAGTGGTGAGATGGAGCCCGGAATCAAGCCTCAGCTTGCACTCCTCAGAGAGAGTGGAGAGGTGCACTGAGGGAAAAGCAAGTCCTCCCTCTCCCTCTGCCCCTCCCCCTGCTTGTGCTCTCTCTCTCTCTCTCTCTCTCTCTGTCCCTCTCTCTTTCACTCTAAAATAAATAAATAAATAAATAAACAAATAAATAAAATCTTTTTGAAAAAAGACTAAAGATTGTGATCAATATGCAATTAATACCCAATGAAAATTATTGTCTCAGAATGAGGAAACACCTCCAGTGACAAGGAATACATTACTTTCCAAGAAACCCATTCAATTTTGAACCATTTTCAACATTAAAAGAAGTTTCTTAGGCCTTTTTGCTTGAGTTTCTATCCTCACGACCTGCATGAGTTTTATACGTCCAAGGAGACAGAGATTACACCCAACATTTCTTCGTGGGACAGCACCTCTCAAACCTCAGGCCAGCTCACGTCTCCTGTGTTGCATCCATCAGAGCCCACCCATGACCCCCTGTACTCCTCACTGGTGCTCTTTCTACCCTGCCCCCTACTCCACCCCCTTCACTTCTAGACAAGGGTTATTTCACCAGTAACGTTTCACACTCCACTTTTTTAAATGTAAAGTAGATCACTGGCCTAAATTAGAGGTATTAAACACAAACAACATAGCTACCAGGCAGGTAACTCAACTGGGTGAAGCATCTTCAGGTAAGGACACAAGGAGTGGTAACAACTGTGATGACTTAGAGAATGAGTTCCCAGCCTGAGCATTCAGATTGGCATATTTCAAAATACTGAATACACACACACAACTGGGAGTACAATCGTGGTCCTTGGATTAAATTACCCTGATACTAAATGTTGAATTAATAGGGTATATCTGAAAATTTGAGGACTTAAATAAATTTCCCTGATTATGCTAGGGGAGAGGGGAGAGTGGTCATCTGTGTCTTCGGGCCATTCTGGAAAGACAGCATGAGAATTTCACTGGTCAACTTTCTTTCAAAAGTACACTGAAAAACTAAAACCAAACTCGGCATTATCTTGTTGCCCAGTATCTTGTATCAGGCAAGTATGTTTTTACATCCTAGTAAATAAGGTACAAACCATCCGAAAAGACACATCATGACTGAAAATTAATAATAAAAAAAGTTCCACTGAACAAAAGATAAAGACCAATCATCACAGAGTATGAAGAAAGTTCACATTATTAATTTCCATACTCCATGAACTGTTTCCTTTGCTATAAGACTTAGAGAATATTTCGTTTTGTCTTTTTTTTTTCCAGGAGCATAAACCGTGCTCTTCTTTGTGTTTGAAAGTTCTAGTGCTGCCTTCCAAAGTGCATATAAATTTTCTGTCTCCCTGTTAACCACACAGACACCTTCAGGAGTCAACTAACGAGGAGCCAGACCTTTTCTGTGGTTGTGGCCCAGGGTAGGTGGTTGCTCTCCATTTATTTGGAACCACTAGATACCAATCTACAAAACCCTGATCTAATCACCATAAGCTCCAGGGCATAAGACATGGGACCAAAAATGAGTCAAGTTTTTCCTCAGATTGGTAGAAAATCACATGTCTAATAACTGTAAACATGTGGCCAGTGACACTTCAATGGGTAATTAATGGCCCTGAAGCTGGAGCCTTCCACATACAAACTCCCCACAGAAGTATCCCTTGGCCTTAGCCCCACCTGATTGTTTAATTATTGAATCATCATCCATGACTTTCAACATTCTTCTTATTACAAATTAGAGCTCTAGATCCACCCACAAATATTCATTCTCTAGCAAAGAGTAAACAACTTCTTGGTTTACCTCTGTCCACCATCTTGGATCCAGCGGGCTTGTCTGGGACAATCAGATGGTCCAGGTTGCTATTCAGTGAAGACGTGTCATCACTAGACAAAGAGTTCAAAAATCCACTTTCTGATGTGGCAAAGCTGTTTTCCAGAGCCCTGCAACTGTTTGCCTCTGAGGGTGCAGATGAGTGAACCTGCACAGCCAATGTTATAGACTGTCCCTCATCGTCGGCCGTGGCGGAACTATTCACCATGTCGATCCAGGACTGTCTCTCTCTAGATAAGGAGGCCAAACTGCTGTTTGTCTTTATTGTACTTTCCGAGGAAGAGGAAGAGCAAGATTTGGGTGAAGAGGAAGATGCCTGCTGTGCAGCCTGTTTCACAAATAAAACCAAAAAGAATAAAATAAATCATGATTAAACTGGCATTCTCTATTTTCCATTTTTAACAGAGGTATTCCAGGCTTTCAGAAAAAAATTATTAGTAACAAATTGTTTTAAAAACCATTCACAAGTTTTGGGGCTTCACTTTTATTTTTTTCATCTGTTTTACCAAATGTAACTCAGAATAATTGCTTTTTGTTCTTGTATTTAACCCTTTTTTTCCAAACAGCTGAAGACACCATATTTAACTTTTTATCTCTATGATAGGGAAATAGCTGCTCTGGCCCTGCATAAGACCTTAATTCTTATACTTCATGCGAGGATTATTAGTACGATCCCTTTTTATTCTGTTTGGGTTAAATTTGCTATGAGGAGAAAATTACAATTCTTAAACTTCTTCATTACTTAATTTGAAGATTCTTTAACAGATCACAGCAAAGTTTATTATAAAACGGTTACAAGGACTTGGTAAAATACACTGACAGAGAACTGGTCTGTTTCTATTCTGTATTTCCAGTATTTGCCACAAGGAATGCAGTTAAGATTACATTTAAATTTAAATTTCATTCTACTTCTTATGGATCTACAACTGCAAGTTTAATTGGCATGCCGGGGGCTCAGTTGTGTATCATAATGTCTTATTTAAAAAGATACCAAAGAAACCTAAACTAGTCTTAAAAAAGAATCAGAAGAAAATTGCGTGATATTTATATTCCTATGGCAAGAACTATGACTCCATCGCCCAAAACCAATTTGTATAACTTTGAATTCTTTGTTTAAGGATCTGAAACATCTCCATAACATGATTTACCCTATTCTTCAATGCTCCCTAGAAATGTAAAAGGTCCCTTTGGGAGATTCTTTGAAATACTGAAGGATACTTTGAGCAAAAATAGATTGTAATCGATCACTGAATTCTCACTGATTGAGCAAAAACCCTTGAGAAAGGCAATTAAGAGAGAGAAAACAAAAGCTGAAGCCAGATAGGAAGCAAAATATTAACTGAGTGGAAACCATGGATGTGGACAAAGTCCATACATTTCTGTTCTCCAATATCATACACATATTCTTTAGCACATACCCAGCAATAGCTTGTAATACATAGGTAAAATCATGTTAGCTCATTAGTTCTTTAATAATTTGAAACCTTTAATAAATGTTCACCAAAAATGATAAGAATCCACTGCAAACTCGTAATGCACTAAAGAGAAACCAGCAGTTGCACCTAGACTGTGAGAAGTAGGCTAATGTTACAGGGATCTTCTGAAAGCAGCTCCCAACATACAATGCAAGAATGAATAAGAGTCCTTGGCAAAATGTTCATCTGCTCAGGGAGAAAACATCAGTGCCACATCACCAATCACCTTCTCTTGGAAAGGACTTCATTTATTCTGAGATTTTATCCTAGTTTCATTTTGATGGTAAAATAATATGCCTTCTTTTGGAAAATGGTGATAGTAGATGTCAGTTTTTGTCTTTTTAAAGTTTTTTTTAATGTCCTACAAAGCAAAATAAATATCTGGCAACTATATGTTGTTCCCTCATTTTTCATTTTCTTTATCAATAAAATCCAAAAATCAAGATGACAGAGACAACAGTGTTCTCTGGGTCATTATATATCTCCAATGGCAGATGATACAGAGAAGACATTTTATAGTTGAGATTCATCAATTTCAAACATTCAACAGTCCAAAGTGGTAGGAAAAAAATGGTTAGTGGGAAGAAGCCAAAGAGCAAACTAGGATTTTTCTCCCCAAAACCTCAGAATCATTGCAACTAACTCAGAATGGTTGATTTCCATCTCGTATGTTCCCAAGAATTTTGTAGGTTCTAAACTCTGAGTTCTGATGGGAAAAGCCTGTATTTACCCAATGTATGCTCAGTTAGCTAAATACTAGCCATGCATTGTCAAATAATCAGTAAATCCACTTTTTAGAAGCATGACATTAAAATATCCAGTTAATATACTATTCATCACATGCACCTTTTATTAATAATACATTTGTACAGACATGAAAACTTTCCATTCAGGGATGTGTCAATGAGTTTGCAAATCAATTGCCTTAAATCATTCAGATCATTTAACAACTAAGAGATTAAATATCTATAACCCACTAAATAAAATCTTTGTTACCTAGAGGAGATAATGCACAGACCCCAAGCTGTCCAAAAAATGCCAAGACTTGTTTACTCATTAGAATGATATAGAAAATAAATATTAACAAAAATACCATTCAGACCTAGTCCCAACACGTTCCCCCATTGTGAGCTATTTTAGTAAAACTTGGCTTTGGTGGGGCCAGCATCCTTTTTTTTTTTTTTTTTTTAAGATTTTATTTATTTATCAGAGAGAGAGAGGGAGAGAGAGTGAGCACAGGCAGACAGAATGGCAGGCAGAGGCAGAGGGAGAAGCAGGCTCCCTGCCGAGCAAGGAGCCCGATGTGGGACTCGATCGCAGGACGCTGGGATCATGACCTGAGCCGAAGGCAGCTGCTTAACCAACTGAGCCACCCAGGCGTCCCCCAGCATCCTTTTTTTGAAAAGAGACCAAGTGCAAGCTTTCCCTGTTGCTCCTGTTGATATTACTGTAATTTGATTAGCAAAATGGGCTATTTGAGCAAAATCCTGTGCACATAGCTGCTGTAGCACTTTTTCCATAAACCTTTTGGGACCTCAAAACTGCTTAACGGACCAAGGAAAGACATGTTCATAGAGCATCAGAAATTTCTGTGAAGCATATTCCTTTCAGAGGTACTACTCAAACACAACTCAAATGTTTTCAATCCATCACCTCTTCTCTTGCACCATGTAACATGTGGAAATTTGATTTTTAAATGGAAAAAAGAAGATGAGCAAGGAAAAAACAAGGAAGAACTAGAGAGACAGAAAGAGAAAATAAGAAAACAGATTATGTCTATCAGTCCAGAGGGAGTTTTTATTAGAAGAGAGATTAACAAAATAGTAATCAAAGTGATCTTGGAAAGCCGTCACAATGGAAACGTGCTAAATAATATGCTATGATAATACGGTGCTAAATCACAGGTCATTATTTCTACCACGTGTAGCTAACAATAGCCACAGTCAAACAGAGAACATTTAGCTCAGTGCCTTCTATGAACCATCCATGTAATTAATATACTCACAAAACTTCTCACTGCAAATCTAATGAAGGCAGGAAGAAGTGGCAGTCTCTCATGTACTAACATAAGTCCATCCATCAGTATTAGTTCAAGGACTGCCTCCTCCAAGAAGACTTCAGTGGGCTCAAGACCAGGTGGGTAGCTCTGTATGGTACTCTCAGGCTTCCTTCTATCATACCAGGTGGAATGTCACTTTATTTGTCAACTAATTCTATAATTGCTGATGGACTTGCTCTTTTTTTTTGGTAAGATACTTGAGAACAGGCTGTTCTTAACTATTATTTTTACCTATTCTTTACATCTGCGCCTGACATATAGTTGGTAACAAATTAATATCAATACAAAATGATCTAGAAGAAAAACAGCCTGGAGTAGTTCAGTCTCATATGGACAGACACCCCAAAATTCTCTGTAGAATTGCTACAAATGATTTACCCTAACCCCAGGATCTAGGAGTGACTGTCACTGATTATAATGCAAATACTCCCACAAAATAATCTCATGATCTCAAACAAAATTATTATTTTATCTATTAGAGGTTAATAATTGCACAGTGGTTCATTTCAGAATATTTGAGTTTTAAATATTTTACTTTTTAATGATAATATTTAAAGACATTAAAGATCTAAGTTTTAATGAAGTGACTATATGATTAAGTTAAAAAATCAATATTGCTTTTTCCCATTTTCTTCATGGATTTGCATGTCATCCTTGCACAGGAGCCATACTAATCTTCTCGATATCATTCTGATTTTCGTATATGCGTTGTCAAAGCGAACACTCTTTTTCCCATTTAGTGTATATTTTTAATTTAAATTCCAGTTAATTAACATGCAGTGTAATAGTAGTTTCAGGTGTAGAATTTAGTGATTCAACACTTACTTAAGATACCTGTATTTATCAAAGAAGCTTAACTCAAATGTTGATTAGCTCTAAAATCTTTTTCCTTGAATTGTTTAAAAACACATATTTGACATAGGGAAAACAGTTTAAGATAGCCACCAACATTCTGTAATTAGGATGAAGTAAGTCAGCATATAAATGTTAAGCCACATTAGTCAAAGTATATTTAAAAAAAAATACAGGAATAACTTAAGATTAAACATAATGAAACCAAATGAGAAAAAAAAAAAAAGGAACATATCCATATGGCTTTCCTTCTCTTTTACTGACCACATGAACAAAAACAAACCAGTCAACTGCTGCTAAACCCTAGGAAGTACTGTCTGTATTTCTGCCATATGCTAGTAGAAGCATTCTTCTAAAAACCCAAAAACCTTGTAGAGCACACACCCCCATCTGACCCCCCATCTGATAAGGTGGCAAAGGACCTGCTCCTCTCTCCAATCCCTTCTATCCAAGTGACCTTAAAGAAACCACCTCACCTCTAAGTCTTTTTTTTTTTAATTTTATTTTTTATAAACATATAATATATTTTTATCCCCATCTCACCTCTAAGTCTTATTCCCTTGATTTTTTTTGCCACCATTACTCACCCACTCCCTACCCTAGTCCATCCTCCAAAAAATAACAGAGTGCTTCTTTTTCTTTTTAAGATTTTATTTAAATATTTATTTGTTTGAGAGAGAGAGAGAGAGAGAGAGAGAAAGAAAGAGCGTGCAAGCATGAGCAAGGGGGCGGGGCAAAAGGAGAAGGAGACTCCCGACTGAGCAGGGAGCCTGATGTGGGAGTCTCTCCTAGGATCCTGAGATCATGACCTTAGGCAAAGGCAGATGCTTCACCGACTGAGCCACCCAGGTGCCCCTAGAGTATTTCTAAAACATAAAATAGATCACAATACTCCCCTGCTGAAAATCCGCTAATAACTGACCGTCACAAGCACAAAAATAG